ATGTCGGTCGAGGTAGCCGTCCAGTCCCTATGTAGTATTTCTAGAAATTACCGGAAGTGGTGCCGGTTCATTGTCTGATATAGTCTGGAACGTCTGGTATCTTCGAGAACCACCTCATTTGTATATAAATAGGACTGTTTTGCCATTTGGACAGTTGTAAGTTGTGCAGAATAATAATGTGGTATAAGTATAGAAGTATTGAGTACAAATTATTGGTCCTAGTGTAAATAAACTGTTTAAATAAATGTTACAGTACATTTGTAACTAAACGATAAACAGCACATCTTTTAAATAACTTTTCATACCGTCCTCGTATAGGTGATATCTGCCCAGAATCAACACCTCACACCGACGTGAAACTTCTGAAAACATTTAATTACCCTCCTATACAGCTTACCTAACTCCGCATTGTCAGCTCCTCGCACACACATACACACATCCGTCACCTAATCCCATCGATCAAGATAATTAAGTCCTCCACACACGATGTTATCGGTTGCTATCCTCTTTTCTATATCAAGTGCGGAACGTAACCCAAAGCTGACGTGACTTACCGGTGTTGAATGCTAAATTAAGAGGGATTGATCGTGTTAGGCGGTCAGATCAAAGTCAATCAAAGACCATTATGGGTCCGGTCGGTACATGGTACTGCATGGACGCCTAAGGGCCAATTAGCTCTGCTTCTTGCCGATATGTATTGAACGAGGGTGTTGGAAACAATGTCTCCGGGAGTTCCTAGTTAGTAGTTAGAATGGATTATTATATAGGAAACTCGCAGTAGGTTTGTCTATATTGTAGCGACGGATAGCTCGATCCTGTGAACAAGCTGAAAACCGCATCACGCTCGTGTTCTACGTATATAACAGGCTATTTTCTCAAGATAAATTTAATAGTATTATGCATTAACAATTTAACCCACATTCTGATTGTTCTGAGGTATTTGTTTATTAATACATTAGAAATCTTCTTAATTTTTAATTCAAATGCAAATACACTATAGTTTGCGGAAAATGTAAAATAAAACACAAAATACGTTATGTCAAGGGCGAATCCAGTGAGCCCCCTTCACCCGAGATTAAAATGAATTCATGAGCATTTTATTAAAAAAAAAAAATGTAAAGACAGATACTAGATCAGAATTAGTTTTATAAAAATATATAATAATAGCTTTGTTCGCAGAGCCTGTCGCTACAATCTACTACATATGACTTCATCCGACTATTCAAATAAATTATAAAAACTAAATATTCGAACTAATAAAAAATTAAACATTTAAAAATTGGACACAATTTTTACAATGCAATGTTTCTTCTGATATCTCTAAAAACTATTTTCACAATTCACAGTCTTCTGTCTCACTTTCATTTGTAATTAAGTGTATGATTGTAATTTTGGTACATAAATTGCGATTGCGCACAAACGTTTTTGATCATTTACCAGCGACAAGTCGTGTATTTGTCGGCGACAGGTTTCGCGAACTAAACTAACATCATTATTTTATAGTTCACCACCATACAGTGCGAATATATTAATTTATGTATGGTAAAATATTTGAGAAACTACTCTGAAAGGTCGATTTCTATTTCTGATGAAACATTTTTATACAATAAAAAATGTACACTTTGTCAGCAACAATTGCATCTCGAGTCGTACAAGTACCAATGGCAACCGTAGTTAAATTTTATTTAACATCACATTGTTTTGATACCACTTTCTCCAGATCTAATCCAACCATAAACCATTTGATTTGCCCTTCGTTCCTTCCTAAGCTGGTTCATAACTTGGTCATGTCGATCATCCGTTACACAAGAATAAGAATTGGATACACATAACCCTAATCCAGTTGGTTTTCCCTAGACTCATCATTACATTTTGTTCATAATTTGACACGAAACCGTCATCCGCTATGCGAATAGAAGCATTGGATATACACCGTACCAACCTTTCAATTGCAGGAGACACATTCACATATTTATGCTTGTGAGAAGAATACCCACGGATTCATATCAGAAGACGTGAAGTCGTTAGCTGGCTGGACACACATTGTTCTGACTTTTATTTAACACCCTTCTTAGCCCCCGTGCTATCATTCTAATCCGTCTGTAGCCTGGCGACATTGCAGCGGCTTATTTTATTACCATTTAAACGTCCTACTACTTTCCCATTCATCAATTCACTTCCTCATATAGAGTCATTTATTCCTCGTCGTCGATGCTTAAACGCTAGTCGGCCAAGTCCCATGCGGACACGACCCATGGTGGAACGTCCCAGTGGTCACGTATCCACGACGTGACCAGAGAGGTGACTGCTTAACTGTTGCAAGAATATGGATGCACATTAATCTCGCAGCTAGTATCCGGCAATTCTCAGTTACTCTCATTCCTCTTCGTTGACTAAAATGTTGTCCCATACTTTAATATTCCCTTAACAATGAGCGACCATTTCCCTCCTGTAAACGACTACTCTTCTGACTAATCCCGTGACGGATATTGCATTATATCAGAAGGTTAATAGCAGAGATAATAGCTTCCTAAGGAGAAAATCATTCTTGGACCGATTCGTCCTTATTAGGACTCTTCAGCTATTAACCTTTTGATATTATGCAGTGCCTGTTGCGGTATTAGCCAAAGGAATAGTTGTTTTCAGAAGATAAATCGTCGCTCGTTGTTTCTGTGACACGGTATTTGAGTTTTTCTCTTTTTCTTTATGGTTTATTTTTAAATTAGTCACATTTGAGAATTGGAATTTATTTCCTTTAATGTTTTTTATTTGATGTTTAACATATAATTTAAATTTTTCGATAATACTCTGTATTATTGATGACGTAATTACTGAGTTAAACAAAGTTGACTCTTTACTAGCACCATCTGTTAGCGATAGAGGGTACTACCACTACCTATTTCCGCTTTTGACCACCAGATTTCGTCATCTGTCACGGTCGTAACAATACACAATAGTAATTCAACTAGCGAATTTAGCAAGCGTGTGCTCGCTCAGATCGCGTAACGGGGCGACTAGTTTAGAAATGATAGATAATTGAAGAAAAATTAAAATGGTTTTGGTCCTTGGAACTTGGAGTAATGAGTATGGCCCTAAGGCTGAATAGTTTAGAAACCCCTGCCATAATCCATTTGAAGCATGTTGGCACTTCACTCTGCTGGTTATTGTTCAAGGCACTTTAAGATTCTACTGCTTTCCCATTCTCTTACTAATTTATTCAACATTTTAGATGGTTAAACGCTACTTGTCACCTATCCACGACGTGCCCGGAGGCTTAGCTGTTGTGAGAACGTGGATGTTACTCTAATCTCGCGACTGATCTTCCGACATCCATTTCTTTTTACAACATCATCCACGACAATCACTGCAGACAGCCAGGGTTTTAGTCGTAAAACACTGACCAGATTTGTATAGTTAGATATTAAAATAATAATGTCATCTGCAAACGACCCTGTTGTAGAATAATCAGAAATCGGAAGTTCTGTTGTGTTTATTATGTTTATTAAATACAATAGTGGACCTAAGATGCTGCCTTATGATACTCCATATTTGATTGGTTGAAACTATGAAGTTTAGTCATTTATTCAGTCCTAAAATATCTGACAAGTATGATATTAGTAAGCTGTAAAAGGGAATCGGAAGAGACTGTTTAATCTTATATAAAACAGCATACCGTACTCTATCAGATGCTTGGCTTACTTCTAAAAATATTGCAGCGCAGTACTTTTTTTCTTCTAGTATCATTAATTTTATGTAAAATACAGTGACACTACTGAATCGTTGAATGTTCTTGACGAAATCCAAATTGGTGTTGATTAAATTAAATTTAAATTTTGTTGATTCGTTGTAACTATATACCTATTAGGCATTCCAACGACCTGCTAAACAATAGCTGCCAGTGGGAAGTTCTCGTATATCTAAGGGGGTTGCAACATAGCCTTCCATTTTAGACGCTATTTTTATTCGAAATAGTAGTCGCCAAGTCTGTCAATTTATGAAAAATGTATAAGCGGGATATTGTGTTCGACACAATAATATTTAAATTTAATCTATTATTCATAATATTCACGTATTGTAGATAGAATACATCGTATGTCGCAACCCTTTAGATATACCATCCCTTCTCACTGAACAGTTCTTTTATTTGGAATCCCTAATGGTTGTAGTAGTAGCTTCTATAGAAGAAACATTGGGCAATAGCCTTATCGGTCTCTATGAAGAAGCGCTGTTTAAATCCTTCGCGGGTTTTGGAATCAGTATTATTTCAGATTTTTCTATAGACTTGTGTGGGTATCAGTTCATATAACATAGAAACCAGAAAACTCTAAGGATCGTGTAGTACATAAGTACACTTATTAAAAAACAATTATTGCAAGTGAACAAAGTTAAAAAGTAACATTTTAGAATTTAGATATATTATTGTCGGCTATCACCATTATGAATTCATCTTTTTTTTATGTAACAATGTTACTAATAAAGTTCAATGACTAAAATTTAATAACATTGAAATGTATCTAGGATTTACCTTGAGTAGGTAATAAATTGTGTGTCTCCAATTAATATCAACATTTGAAGTTATATATTGACTAAAAGCGTGAATAACTATTATTCCTTATTGGTAACTTAAAGTTCACTTAAGTAGTTATATATATATATATATATATATATATATATATATATATATATATATATATATATATATATATATATATATATATATTTTTTAAAACTCGTTAGACACATTTGACCTACTTTCTTTCTACTCGCATAACAAACATTAAAATTACTTAAAATTATCCCCCAAATCAACAACAAAGACCCAATAATAACAACCTGTCAATTCCAAACTGATACTTTTCAGTATTTTGCGGTTTTCTTTTGTATCCGAACTCGCCTGAACCGTTAATGCCTCATTTTCAAACAACACACAACGAAAACGTAACATATGTTTGATGGATGAAATCAGATCATAAAAAAATGTTTCTCTCTTTTGTCAACAGGTTAATTAAAATCAAGGAGTGGGTTGACAAAAACGATCCCGGTTCTATCATCATACCCTTTTCTGGCGCTTTTGAACACAAATTGTTGGAGGAATTTGAAGACCCAGTGCTTAGAAAGAAGTATTTCGAAGACAACAGTACTGGCAGGTAAGTCATTTATTTAATTATGTTTGTAGTTTTGGTATGAGTTGCCAAATAATATAATGACAGGTTTGAGTCAAACTGAACACGGAAAGTTCTTGAAATTGTAATAATAGTTTTTTTGTTTATAATCACATTGATTTTAATAATATAATTATTTTGATAAAAATATTGCATCGTGGATCATCTTTATAGAATCCATTTCTATATTTTTTGGGGTTTTATTCGCTTAGTGCGAAGTCACGGTAGGGAAGCAAAAGCGATACTAGCGCTAGCTGCGGATAATTCGTGCATTTTAGGGCGATATTTTGTAATTTTGGCGTATCAAATATAAGTATATTAATTATTTTTAAAAAAGTAGTTGGAAGCAATACAATGAGCAACTTTGTTGTAAATTGTGAAAATAATAGCAAAAAAACAGTGTAAATGTTATAAATTTTCAGTAGAAAAATGAAAATTAAATTTGTAACAAGGGTATCTAACACCTATTGAAAATAATAGACATTAGAATTCTAAAAGGTTTTATGTACTTAAATTATTATTATTTTACGATGTTCTTCAAAATTTCAGAAAAGATATATTTCTGCCTATGATTATTCTCTCTATGTTTTCTTTTCTTAAACTATATGTACAGTACAGTATTGTCCTCGCAGATTCATAAACTCAGCACTCGGTCATCACTTCTTTGCGGTTAAACTGAAACTGAGTCTCTCTCGAAGGAGTAGAACGTGGCCGGTACGTTGAAATTATTCGTTTCCTGTTCGCTCTAATACTAACTCTCTGTAATTTTCACTTGAACATTAGCAAAGCGAATTGGAAAGCGATCAATAGCCGACATGGTATATGATTTGATAGATTCAAAATAATAGCTACATATTTTTTTATTTATTTTCATGTTGTTTCTATTTTGTCACTATGTATCCACAATCTCCAGGATGCATCTAAGTAATTAAGAATTTTTTTATCAAAATATATTTTTAAATGAATTAATATTTTTTTCTTACAATATGTGCTTCATCTGAAAGATGAATCCACCATATCGTCGCCCTTATCACGAAGTGACCTAACCAACAAAAATTTAAAAAAATGTTTTTTTGTGCGGATTAACTAGTCTTGACCTTCTTTATCATCTCACGAAGTGGCACATCTACAACCTTAATAGTGCATGCAATACAGCATATTATTTCTGTGTCCTATCTGTAATAACGCATAACGATATGAGAATTACGTATTTTCGTTTTAATGCTGTAAAATTTACTATTTGTCACTTATGTCACTTCGTGATGAGGGCGACGATATGTACTTCTAAATGAGTTTCCATTTGCTAAAAAACACCCATCGTATTATCCAGATTTAGCTCCCTAAGATGGTCACTCTTCCCAAATTTAAGAGATTACTGACCCGTAAATAAAATATTAAGTTACAAAGAAATTATGTCGGGTGTAAACGGGTGGTTTGTAGATATTCAGCCAGTCTTTAGAAGACTATTTTTGAATTGGGATTAACACATTTTATATTTAAAAGTGCATAGAGTCAACCTAAATTTTTATTGGCATACTTAAAGTTTATTTTTTTGGCTTACAAACTTTGGAATGCAGGTTTACTATTAATTTTAGTTATTTCTATTTCTTAAATACTTATCAACATGCACATAAAAAAAGAACTAACATAGAACGATTATAGTGTATGAAACAATCGCATGTTCATTTTTTATTACAGCATTATCAAATTTCGTGTTGAGAATGAATAAATATGTTTAAAAGTGTTGTATGAAGTTTCTCTCGTATAGTTTCCTTTATCACTGCCTGGTAGAAAACGTTTAATGCACATATTAGGTAAGAAATAGAATCGCGTGACAATAATCGTAATGTAAGAATTAAATAGAAACGATAAAGACTAATAAGATGTTTAGTTGTTAAATTGTACCCTAACTGCGCCCATGTTAAAAGCTTAAATGTTGGTGGAACACAAGAAAAAGCCTTCGAGTATTTTACATGTATATACTGCACGCCTCGATAAAAAATTTAAATATGTTTTAAATGAAGGTAAAAATCTTGAAAATAGATCATATGAACAGGCTAATAGTTTGTAGCAAGAAAGTTTTGAATAGTTAAGAATAAAAAGTTTTTCAGTTTTCGGTTTTCGAATTCTGCGATTTAATCAATAAAAAAAAATAATATATTTATTTTTACAAGATTTGCGAATAACTTCCTAACTACAACACAATTATAATCAGCGTTACTTTGAATATTGTGCCTCCATTCTTCACTTATTTAACATTAACAAATTAAATCAACTTCAAAAACTACAAATCATGGCAGCTTAATACTAAAAACAAACCTACACTAGTTGCCCCAAT